TCCTTCTTTAGAGTGTCCTCTGCCTGTCCAGTCGCAGTCACAGTTACAGCCTGCCTCGCCACTCCCTGGTCCTTCTCCCTACACTGGTCCGACCGGAGGTCTTACGGAGCGTCGTGAGCCTGAGTCTCGTCCTGCGTCGCCTGAGTCTCGTCGTGCGTCGCCTGTTCGTGCTGCTCGCACTGGTCGTCGTGCTCCGCGTCAGCGTCCTCCTGCTGTCCCAGGCACATACCAGATGGCGCTTCGTCCTTCCACTGCTCCACATCGTGTCCCTCTGCCGTCTCCTCCTGCGTCCTCTCTTCCTGCTCTTGCTGACCCGGCGTCTGACTCCCTTCGTGCTGCTAGTCCTACTGTCACGCGTCTTCTCGCTACTGTTGTCACTGACCCTGCCTTTGAGTCTACTGCTGCGTCTGCTCTTGTTGCTGAGCTTGTCGACTTTGCTGCTCACTGTCGTCTCGACTACGCCGCTAGTCTAGTTGCTGAGTCTGAGTCTGTCTGTCCTCCGTCCGTCGGGGGTGAGTGTGCTCTTGGCACGGACGTCCTTGAGGACAGGCAGGAGGAGTTTGAGTGCTTTGCCGCTGCTTTACCTCATCTCGTGTCCATGCTGATTGCCCCTGAGGGAGACCCGGATGCACCAGACATCCCGACCCCGCGCTCTTACGCAGAGGCGATAGAGGGTCCCTACTCCTCTCAGTGGCAGTCAGCCATGGACGCAGAGATGGCTTCTTGGAAGTCCACAGGCACCTACGTCGACGAGGTTCCCCCGCCTGGGGCGAACATCGTCAGTGGCATGTGGATTTTCAGGGTGAAGCGGCCGCCGGGTTCTCCGCCTGTCTTCAAGGCGCGTTACGTTGCACGAGGTTTCAGTCAGCGTGAGGGAGTTGACTTCTTTCAGACCTTCTCCCCTACCCCGAAGATGACCACTCTTCGGGTTCTGCTGCACGTCGCCGCTCAGCGTGACTACGAGCTTCACTCTCTTGACTTCAGCACTGCTTTCATATAGGGCAGCCTGCACGAGGAGATCTGGCTGCGCCGCCCACCTGGCTTCACTGGGTCGTTTCCTCCTGGTACCCAGTGGAGCCTCCGGCGGCCAGTCTACGGTCTCCGCCAGGCACCTGGTGAGTGGCACGACACACTGAGGACGACTCTTGCTGCTCTTGGGTTTGCTCCTTCTACTGCTAACCCGTCACTGTTTCTACGCACCGACACCACTCTGCCGCCGTTCTACGTTCTCGTGTACGTAGACGACCTGGTCTTTGCTACTGCTGACACTGAGGCACTCGCCCACGTGAAGTCGGAGCTGCAGAAGAGACACACGTGCACAGACCTGGGTGAGCTGACAAGCTATCTTGGCTTGCGGATCACCCGGGACAGAGCACAGCGCACCATTACCTTGATTCAGTCACACATGGTGCAGCAGGTCCTTCAGCGCTTCCGCTTCACGTACTCCTCGCCACAGCCCACTCCTCTGCCTACGCGCCACTCGCTCTCAGCTCTCCCTTCGGATGAGTCCGTAGAGCCGAGTGGCCCGTATCCAGAGCTTGTGGGCTGCCTCATGTACCTGATGACCTGCACTCGACCTGACCTAGCCTACCCTCTTAGCATCCTTGCACGCTATGTTGCTCCTGGCCGACACAGGAAGGAGCACATGGATGCTGCTAAGAGGGTGTTGCGCTACTTGTGCAGTACGTCGGGCATGGGGCTCGTGCTTTGAGGGCGACGTTCAGTGGTCCTCACTGGTCACGCAGACGCTTCTTGGGCTGACGACCTGGCTACTCAGCGGTCGTCACAGGGTTACACCTTCAGCCTTGGTTCCGGCTCTGTTTCGTGGCGGTCTACCCGCTCGTCTTCTGTTCTCGGCTCCAGCTGTGAGGCCGAGATCTACGCAGGGGCCATGTCTGCACAGGAGTTACGCTGGCTCACCTACCTGCTGACCGACCTGGGAGAGCCGCCTCGTTCTCCTCCAGTTCTGTACGTAGACAACAAGGCCATGCTGGCCTTGTGTCAGGAGCACAGATTGGAGCACAGAACGAAGCACATTGCTCTTCGCTACTTCCTTGCACGTGAGCTGCAGCAGCGTGGCCAGCTGCGCCTTGCTTACGTGGCCTCTCAGGCCAACACTGCTGATACCTTTACCAAGGCACTTCAGCCTTGTGATCATCAGCGGTTCTGTACTATGTTAGGTCTTGTGCCTACCTGGCCTCACTTGCTTACCTCTTGACTTTGCTTGTACTGTGATCTATATATACCTGCACCTGCATGCTAGGTTGTGATCACTGTCTTGCTTGTTCACCTTGATTTATAATCCTGCATGTGAACTGGCCTTGTGGCCTTTGAACTTGTGCTCGGAATGTGTGGTGACGTTGTGATCCACCCTGAGCTTGCTTGGTCTTGTGACCGTTTCTTGTGTTGGCTATCCCCCACTTCGCCTATGGGGGTGTGTCAAATTATATGTTTAATGTTATCTAGGCTGTAGTGGGTTTAGCCTTAGGGGGTACATAATTTTGCTCGACACTTCTTTGTATCGCCCTCCTTGCCCTAATCTCATCATACCTTCATACTATTCTCACACTGGTTTGCATCAGTGGGCATCAACAAACGGCCACAGAGATATATGCTTCCTGCTATTAGGATTAAGGACAGAGCCTTTGAAGATTAGGGGCCGAAATTACTCAAAATCGTTGGACTATAATTCTGGACAGAAAAGTCGACTTCACAAAATTCGTGTCGATAAACGTGCACCGTCAAAACTTCACCAATTCCAGATATGTTGTATCTTTAGACCGTGGCTACAATTCCCAATTTGAATCGTATCAATAGGTGAAGTAAAAACTGGAGTTATGAATTTCGGCGCACCAGGGGGTATGCTGCCACAGAAACTTAACTCAATCACAATATTCTCCCAAGAACCACACAAGGGAATTTGAGTAGCAAGAACCAGGTAGGAGAGGATGATGATGACGAGAGGGAAGGTCCCCAAGGAGTCCCCAACCAAGGAAACCCCATAAGCACACAATTCCCCTCCCTATAGGTACCCCAACTTTCACTCTTGTCATGTTCCCAACCCATGCCATCCACCTCACCCAACTTGGCCACACTTGCCAACCTGGTTTGGCTTCTCCCAACCACTTGGCATCATCTACAGTAGAAGTGACCCAACCTAAAAAAGTCTATACCCCATATAGAGTCACTCCACAAATTCCCATAGTCGCCGCATCACAATCAAAACTTCGAACGATCATATCTTTGTCGTTCTTGCTCCAATCGTGACGATTCTTGGTTCGTCGGAAAGCTCTTGAGCAGAGGAGTCACTTCAGATATTTGCTCAAGCATAAAAACATTCACACAAACTCACAAAGTCCAAATAACATCAAACACAATATCTTGCACACGCTCACACCACGCATGCAACGCACGAACATATGATGGGAGGCAGACAGACGTGAATGCAAATGATAGCACCACATAACACCTGCTGTGTGTTTCCTCTGCTGTACGGCTAATGCCCTTCACCCATCACGCACACAGTCTAACCCACACTCGTTTTTGCCTTGTGCAACATTGAGGAATCCGCCCCCTGAGCAAGTACACAAGGGGATCTCGGAAGCGTGGAAGGCGGTCCTGCGCGATCTCTTTGTGAAGGCCTTCAAGACCAGTAGGATCAGCAACTTCCTCGACGGTTCGGAGGACGACATGTGCCTGATGCACCTCGGCCGGAGGAGGAGGAGGCTAGTGCCGAAGCGTCGGCTGAGCCCTCTGATCCCTAATGGCGTGCTGGAGGGTGAGGATGATGCATACTATGACAACTCCAAAAGGCCCTTTGAGCACCTAGAGGAGGACCCTTGGTATGTCCTTGCGAACAAGGGGCATACCACGGTTGGTTGTGATGATCAAATTGACATGTTTCTTGAATTGTTGCGTGGCATGTTTTTTGTTTTGAACCCCCCTGCACCTCCAGGGGGGGTTTGATAGCCGGAAGTGCGTGATACAAGACCCTCCCCTCCTCCTCCCCCTCGCATAATTGTGGACCTGTTGGTTTCTATTAGGGGGGGTCCACTAACCGGGTGAGTACGGTACACACGTGAAGTCACAGTATCCTAATCTACTGGCTGTACCGTACATGAGGGTTTTAGCAGCATCTGTATTTACATCGCTAGGCTGGCTGTACTGTACATGAGGGTTTTAGCAGCATCTGTATGTACATCACTGGGCTAGCAGCAATCACTGTAGTTGCAACCGGTGAATCAATAGCAGAGGCCTTAGGTAGATTAAACCAGCTCCCCTCGGCAAAAGACCCTGATGCGTTGCTACTTCCGCGACCGTGTTGGCTGTATCACTTCCTCGACGGCGTCGGCGCTACCACGTTCTTGCTCGCCTAATTTGAGACACTCTGGATTTCCACGTCATAACTGCACGTAAGGAAAATAGCAAGAGGAAAAACCAGGACAGCAAGCGATATCTAAAGACACGAGAATTCGAACCCTCCCCTTCCCCCGCTTCCTGGATCCCCCTCTTCCCTATCTCTCCCTGCCTTCCTCGCTCCCTGCCTCCTTGCTCCCTTCCTCCCTGCTCCCTGTCTCCCTACTTGCATCCCTTCCTCCCTGCCTAATTGCCACGCTGCCTGCCTGCGGCCTCGCTGGCTGCCTGCCAGCCTGTTTGCCTTCCTGCCTGCCTAGCTGCTTGCGTGGCTGCCTTATTGCCTCGCTGCCTGCCTACCTCGCTGCCTGGCTTCCTTGCTGCACACCTGCCACAATGCCTGCCTGCCTTGCTGCTTGCCTGTGCCTACCTCAGGGAGCTACGCGTGTTACCAAAGTGCTGATCCGAAGTTGAGACATTCGCTATCATAAGGGTCTTGGAGTTGCCACTTAAGGAGTACGCCAACACCATTGTGAGTTTATCCTCACAAGGGGGGGGGGGGGAGGACCTTCTCCTTCAACGCACGGATCACCGTCGACTTGTGCGCGTATCCTCTCAATGTGAACCACGTGATTTCCGCCAGTTTAATGTGGGACCTTCCTCGTCCGAGTCCCCCGATCGCCTCGACCCGTTCCCTCGGCCCTTCCTCCCTTGCCCCTCGTCCCATTCCCCCTCTCGTTCCTTCTTCCATTGCGCATTGTGCCATTCCTCCTCTGTCCCTTCTCCTATGCACCTCATCCCATTCCCGCTCACGTCCCTTCCTCCCTTGTGCGCCGTGCCATTCCCCCTCTTGTCCCTTCTCCCGTGTGCCTCTTCTCATTCCCCCTCTCGTCCCTTCCTCCCGTGCACCTCGTCACATTCCTCCTCATGCCCCTTTCTCCATTGCGTGCGTGTCATTCCTCCTCTTATCCCTTCTTCCGTGCACCTCGTCCCATTCCCCCTCACGTCCCTTCCTCCCTTGCGCGTCGTGCCATTCCCCCTCTGGTCCCGTCTCACGTGCGTCTCTTCCCATTCCCCCTCTCGTCCCTTCCTCCCTTGTGCCTCATCCCATTCCCCCTCTGTCCCTTCCTCCCAACCGCCTCTCCAATTCCCCCCCTTGCACGTCGTGCCATCCCCCCTCTGATCCCTTCTCCCATGTGCCTCTTCCCTTTCCCCCTCTCGTCCATTCCTCCCTTGCGCCTTGTCCATTCCCACCTTGCGTCTCGTCCTATTCCCCAATGTCGTCCTTTCCTCCCAACACTTCCAACATTAACTTTAGAATGCCAGCCCTGTGATCTCATTGAAGAAACATTTCCATCATTTTTTTGTATGTTTTCTGCCCTTCTCTTTACCGCGACTCGCCAAAATTGGCAATCATGAATATTTCCTTAGAGATTCTTTTAGAATGAAGTGTCTCCCCATCTCTGAGAAATATCCTAAAGAGTCTTTTGAGACCACATTCTGTCCCAAAAGTGACCTCGCATTATCTAAAAGGGTGCTAGTAGGACAGGGCCTCAGACTTGGTCCTCCAAGTATATTTCTGGTCATTTCACGACAGATCCAATACTGTCCATGTTGGTGATATGTCGTCGCGCCTCCCCTTCCTTGTCGCGCCTCCTCTCCCTTGTCGCGCCTCCCATTGTTGCACACTCCTCTCCCCTCGTGCGTGCAGTTTGCTTTACGACGTGTGAGATACGGGAAGTTGCATTGCATTGAGGAAAGCCAACTACCCCACTGCCTTCGGGGTTCATTGTGGAGCCCTGTGCTGATGAGGAGGTGGTGGGTGAAAGTGACAGGAAGCTTTTTCATTCCATGGTTGGGGCACTCAACTATGCGGCGAACCATACTCGGCCCGACATTGCCTTTGCAACATCAAGGCTTGCCAGTGTGGTCTCACGCCCCAGTCATGAGCAGTTGGAAGCGGCCAAGAGGTTGGTCCGCTATGTGCGTGCTACTGCATATGTGGGTTTGGAGTACAGTGCTGTGAGGCAAAGGCAGCAGCGGGGTGCTGCTGATTTGGGCAAGGGGGAGATGCTCTTGACTTGCTACACCGACGCTAGCTTCAACTCTGTGAAGGCGGATGGCACCAGCATTGGAGGTTATGTGTGCCTGTTTGGAGGTGGTGCAGTGAGCTGGCGCAGCAAGAAGCAGAATGAGGTGGGGCTGTCCTCGTGTGAGACAGAGTACATGGCCCTGCATCATGGGGCAAAAGAGGTGGTGTGGCTGAGGCGTTTGTTGGAGGAGATCGGGTTTGAACAGAAGGACCCGACAGTGATCTTCTGTGACAACGAGTCAGCTGTGAAGCTTGCCAAGAACGCTTGCCTTCATGGGCTGACAAAGCACATCAGGCCCAAGTGGCATTGGGTGAGGAGGCTCCTGGACAAGGAGGTGCAGTTGGAGATTGTGAAGACCCAGCAGCAGGCGGCTGATATCTTCACAAAGCGCCTGGCTGAACCTGAGCATTGGAAGGGCATGAAACTTGCTAGAAGGAGTGTGCATTGAGGGTGCATGCATGAACTGAGGCATGTGGGATGATGGTTGGCAGCCAGAGGGGGAGTTTGTTATGTGATGCTATCATTTGCATTCACGTATGTCTGCCTCCCATCTTATGTTCGTGCGTTGCATGTGTGGTATGAGCGTGTGCAAGAATTTGTATTTGGCGTGGTTTGGATTTTCTGAGAGTGGGTGAATGTTATTTGGCTTGAGCAGATATCTGAAGTGAATCCTCTGCTCGAGAGCATTCCGACGAACCAAGGATCTCTTCAATCGGAGCACGAACGAGAAAGTTACGAATGGTCGAAGTTCGTATGCTTTTGATATTTGGTTACAACAACTTTGGGAATTTGTGGGGTGACTCCATAAGGGGTATAGACCATTGGAGGTTGGGAAATTTGTCACTTCTACTGTAGTTGCTGCCAAATGGTTGGGAGAAGCCAAACCAGGTTGGCAAGTGTGGCCAAGTTGGGTGAGGTGGATGGCATGGGTTGGGAAAGTGACAAATGTCAAAGTTGGGGTGTCTATAGGGAGGGGAGTTGTGTGGTATGGGGTTTCCTTGGTTGGGGACTCTCTTGGGACCTTCCCTCTCGTCCTCCTCATCCCCTTTTACCTGGTTGATTGGTACTCTAATTCCCTTGTGTGGTACTTGTGAGACATTTGTGATTGAGTTAAGTTTCTATGGCAGCTTACCCCCTAGTGCGCCGAAATTCATAACTCGAATTATCCTCCATCTTTTGATACGATTCAAATTGGGAAAGATAGCCACGGTCAAGGGCTACAACATAATCGAGTTTGAGAACATTCTAACAGTGAACGTTTCGTCGACGGCGTTTCATGTGAAATCGACAATTCTGTCCAGAATTCTAGTCCATCGATTTTGAGATATTTCGGCCCCTAATCTTCATAGACCCCGTCCTTAGTCTCTAACATCCAGCACCAGCACGTCCAGCACTAGTAGCTCCACTACCTCCAGCACCAGCAGCACCTCCAGCACCAGCACGTCCACCACCAGTAGCTCCAGCACCTCCACAACCCAGCCGCGAAGCTGCTGCGGCGAGAGGGTCTCCTGTCGACGAGACTGCTGCTGCGGTCCAACGCCAGATCCTCTAGCAGGAGCACCCTCGACTCCACCACCACTAGGACGCGCAGCACCCCCAGAGTCAGCACCCCCAAAACCAGCACCCCCAAACTCAGCACCCCTAGAGTCAGCAACCCCAGGACCAGCACCTCCAGAGTCCACACCCCCAGTGTCACCACCCCCAGCAGCACTAGAGTCCACAGCGACAGGCTGCGGAGGCGGCGACGTTGGTCGAGGCAGAAAACCAGGAGGGGTCTCCAAACGCGGGGAGCGCCGAGTGGCCGCCGTGTCGTCAGCAGCGGGGTCACCCCCCTCAGCTGGGCCAAAGGTGTCAGAGGAGACCTCCAAAGGCTCAACCAAGGGGGGTGGGTCGACCTGAGACACACCTGAGGGAACAGGACCCTGTGGGGGGAGGGGGTCTACCGGGGGGGGGACCTGGAACCAGGAAGAGGGGCGGCGAGGAGAATGGAGAAGACGCGTGCGGGTGGAGACGGTAGAAGCAGACCGACTCGTCAAAGGTGACGTCCTGTGAGGACAGGACGCGGCGCGAGGCAGGGTGGTAAAACTGCCAGGGCGGGGCGTTGGTGGGGAAGCCAATGAAGACGCAGCAGAGAGTGCGAGGAGAGAGCTTGCCCGCGGTGGTATTGCTGACAAGGGAGAGCGCGCCCCAGACCCGAAACGGTGATGCATCGCCAACCTCCCCCGTCCAACGCAGTGTAGGCGAGGTCTCGAGCACAGAGACACGGGGCCAGAGGTTGAGCTGATGCGCGGCGTATCGGACCGCAAACGACCACAGAAAATGGGGAGCAGCCGCATGGATCATGGAGGTGCGAGCAACCTCCATGATCAAGCCAATGCGACGCTCAGCAATCCCATTCTGCTGCGGAGAGGCCGGAAGCCTGACCGACTGGGCGATGCCCTCCGCGCGGCAAAAGTCCTCAAGGAGGCGGGAGGAAAATTACCGCCTCTGTCAGAGTGCAGTCGCAGGACCTTAAGGTCCTGTTGAAACTGCGCGCTCAGCTGGCGACGAACAGCAGTGATCCAGGGGATCAAAACACCGCAGACATCTGCCTTGCTCCGCAAGGGGAAGACCGTGGTGTAGCGCGTGTAGTCGTCGACAACCAGCAGAAAGTAGCGCTCCTGGTCCTGTCCACGGACGCGGGCGGGGCCCCACACGTCCATGTGCAGTGTCTGCAGAGGAGCAGTGGTCGGCGGAAACGAGGAGGAGTGAGGAGCGGCGCGCTGCCGCCCCTCGACGAAGGGAAGGCACGGCAATGCAAGCGAGCGCGGGAGCGGGGGAAGGGACCTGGGAAGGCCAGAGACAAGGAGACGAGAGTGCATGCCACGCAGGCGCGGCAGGGAGGGGTGACCAAGACGGTGGTGCCAGAGCAAAGTCTGGTGCGAGAGTAGCCGACACGAACAAGACGCAGCTAACTGACCCGACGCAGCCACCTGACTTGACGCAGCCACCTATGCAGACTCAGTGGTCAGTGTGTATAGTCCCGACCCAGGTCTCCATGTGAACGTAGCGAGGTGGCGGCCTGTGCGTGAGCACGTACAGATCGCCACCCGCTCACCCCCAGGAGTAATGGTAGTGACCAACTCATCCTGGAGGACAGCGTTACCCACCAAGTTCGTAGAGATCGAGGGGAGGTGGAGACCTGGGAGAGAGCTGGAGGGACCGCCGGACAAGGGAGGACAGTGGAGGCTCGTGCAACGACTGGGCCCCCAAAGGGGTCCGACAGAGCGACTGGGACAGGTGCTGTGAGCGGTGTGACTGTGGTGCAATCGCGAAAGAAGCAGCGAGACGCGCATGAGTCAAGTGTGAAGGTGTGCAAGGCCTCAGCAGAAGCAGTACCTGCGGCAGCAGACTCACAAGCACCTAGAGCAGCAGCCTCTACACCAGCAGCGCGCGGCACATACGAGTAAACATATATCCTCAACACTAACAGAACCAACATACATAGCATAGAGTCCAGCATTGATCTTGACAAAGTCAAGAGCAAACACATCCACCCCCTTCCCTAGCAATCCTAACCAGTTGGGGATCTCCTGATCATCTCCGTACTCGGTGCGCAAGGCATCCTCGAGACGGCAGAAGCAACGGTACTCAGTGTGCCAATCTTCCCGCAGGGCTCACCAGTCCTATGACCCGTGCGCCTGATGTACGGGCATCGGAGCCACGCTGGACAACCCATTCACGAAGCTCCTGAGGGGTGCGTGGCTCCTGCTGCTGTCCACCCCCAGTGCCTCCGCCGCCACGAGCTGCACCCCCAGTCGCCGCCCCATATCCTCCGCCCCTGCCAGCTCCACCCCGATCACCACCCGAGCCCCCTCCGCCCACTCCACCGCACCCCCGCCACCTCCACTGCCACCACCACCGCCTCCACTGCCGCCACCACCACCGCCTCCACCCCCGCCACCGCCACCACCACCACCCCGGCCACCACCTCCGCCAGCGCCACCCCCACCACCCTTACCCCCCTTGCCCTTGCCGCTGCGGCGCTTCCCACTAGGAGCAGACGCAGCACCGGCCTCCTCAATACGAAGGAAGTCAACAGCAGCAGCAGTAGCAACGGAGGGCACGAGAAGGGAGGGAGAACACCCCTAAAAGAAGGGGGAGCGGGGAGTGCCACGTGAGGCAGCTACAGCGACAGTACTAATCTCGGCCTCTAGGAGATGCTTCTCCAGTGAGGCAAGGGTGAGGACAGTGGGGTCAAGAGCGAGGAAGAGATCCCTAACGGCGCGGAGGGAGTCAGGGAGGCAAGTAACGATGTAGTATAGAGTGATGTACATCGGAGGCTAGTTCGCAGTCAGAAAGGCCGGCTTGAGAGCGGCACGGTAGCGAGCGTCACTAGAGCGAAGGTGGGTCATGAGGTCAGCGACAGTGTGGAAATCCGACAGCTCAGGAAAGAGGTACGGCAACATGATACGGCCTATTGCAGCAGTAGAGGGGGAGGAGTAACGAGCAACTATGGCGTCATAGAGTTCCTTCGCCGTCTTAAGCTGGCCAAAATGGACTCGTTCCTCTAGCGGGAGGGCATTGCAGACAGAAAGGCTGGCGACAGCATCGCGCGTGAGCCACTGAGTACGAAGAGCACGATCAGCTGACTCCTC